CAGTCCCATTCTCCTTAGCCAATCAGTCTGGTCTCCTCCCACACTGACTCTTGTTCGGTTTCCCATTCCCCTCTACCTACTTCTAGTCCTAGGCCCCTCCATATCTGCTCTCACAAGTCTCTTATAATGCCTCCCCCTCCGTAGTTTCTATCTCCAGGGTGCCTGGGTGATAATGAAGGGAGAAGTGTTTAGGGCAAAGAGGGAGGATGAGCTCTCCGTTCTCAGTTTCGGCACTCAGTTCTGGTCCACAGCTGCAATTTCATGGAAAGTCTTGCTCAGTCCTGAGCTGGAGCATGCTCAGAGCACACAGAATGTCTGGGGTATTTCAATGTAGTTATTACTAAGCTGTCTCTAGATCTTGTGTATGAAAAGCGGTTTTTCAAAGGCCAAAATTGAATGAATTTTCTTGGGGATGCCAATAGGCTCATTCCTGATACAAAGGCCATTTCTTCCACCAAGTTTTAAGTCCTTGCTCTGAGGCATGAAAGTGCTGGAGTTTTTCAAAGAAAAGGACAATAGATTTTTTTAACATGAGCTATGGTTATCTACTTTTACTAGTCTCAGTGTAAAAAAATAGCTTGCTTGTTTGTCAGAACATTTCCAGAACAATTTGTCCTGAAGCAGACATGTAAAAATTGAAGCCCAGATGGTGAAAGTTTGGCAAAGCTGTAAGCAACAGAAAATGGGGTCTTTTAATTGGAAGACTTGGAAAATCTTAATAATACACAGGGCTGATAGTTCTGCCTATATAACCAAATAGATGTAGACTTTACACACAGGAGTTCCTTATTTAGAAACAAGATAAATAGGCACTCACGTTCAACTTTTTTCTCCAGCATTGCCAAGTGATTAGCTACTTCAGTTTTCAGTTCATTGATTTTAAATACCCTGGAAAAGAAAATCTCAGCTATGAACATAATCTTTATATCTAAATCTGTATAAACAAGAAACTTGCATATATTTCAAAATACAACTTGTAGTATGTTTACTATAAAGAATAGAAAAAAATCTCTACCAAAATGTAAACCTTTAGAGAGAGATTTGGGCACATTCAACAGTTATGGACATCTTAGGAAAAATCAAAGGGAATGCTTTTCTTTTTGCTTGGAGAATCTAGATTCTAGAATATAAAAACACTTCAATACCGCCTCTCTCCACAGTGAGTTGTCCTCATGTTCCTTAGGGAACCAAACCTCAGTTGATAATGCTTCATTTAATAGCAGTGTGTTTGTGAGTGTGTGCACACTGAAGTGCTCTTGTCTTTGAATCATTTTGGTGGCTTGCAGAGATGCAGTGGGATTGATCCCTCTTACTGAAATCAAGGCAAATAAAACAAGCAGCCTTAAAAAGGTACAGAATTGTTGTTTGAGGAGAGGAGAAAAAAGTGCATAGATTAAAACAAAATAAAGAAAAGTATTGAGCAAATGCTGAACTTATAAAGCTCAGTGAAGAAAGACTTAATTTGCTTTCCTGAAGGGAATAAAAAGCACAGTTAAACATTTACCCTTTTCTTTTTTGAGCTAATATAGGCCAAACTCAATTTTGGCATAAGCCATTGCATCTCTTCATAGCAGGGGCAGAAATTACACATAAACTGGTATAAGTGATCAGAAGGCAGTTCAAATCTGTAGCACAACATAAGTTCAGTACACATAAACCAGTTTCAAAGTGGCTGAAGCCAGTTTAAGATAAACCTGCATGGATGTAGTAACAGACTTAACTGATTCAGGTTAAATCGGTTTATTGAACTTCTGTCCAAGATCTCCTCTGGATTCAAGTTAACTCACAGTCCCCCTGCATCCCAGGATGCTTCACACTTCCCCACTAAACTCCTACCCTCCCAGCAGGGTGGGCGGGCTAGACTTGGTTCAAGCTGTCTGCTCCAGCTAAGCCCTCAGCTTTTGGCCTAGGCCACTGCAGGCCTGTGGTTACATTTCTGAAACCAAAAGTGAATGTCTGTTCACTTGCTTCTTGGTTCAGTCTACTCAGCTTAGGCTAACTTGTGAAAAATGAATCGATTCAGCCTCAGGCTTTTTGACTGTCTGGACATAGCCTGGGAGTTGTGTGCGCGCCATGGCTAACTGTAGCAGGACAGCTGGGATTTTCATAAGGGTGGTGGGGTGGGAGAAGGAGTGGGGAATGAAGTATTAGACTCCCTTGAAACATCAGTGGAAGTTGGTTAAATTGATTGTCGCACTCCCTATGGCACCTTTGAAGATCTCCATCTCTGTCAGTTAAAGAATTAGCACTTTGAATGAGGAATGAAACTGTAAAGTGCTTACCTCGAGAACTGTTCAGCAATCTGTGTCAATAAACTCTGGAATAATTCCTCTTTCTCTGAAAAACAGAATAATAAAAGCATAGAAACTGATACAGAATGAAAAGGCAATGAAATACAAAAAAACTGCTTCATGTTATATCTTCAGGGTGTTGCAAAGAAGCAGTTAGCAAAGCAATCATTCCGCCTTGAATGGAACAATCAATTGGGAATGTAGATACACTGTGATGGGGCCTTTCCCTTTCCACCATTGCAGCTAGATCCTTTATTACACTATTGTCTAGTGTCCTCTGTAAGATTTTCAAAAGTAATTACTAATTTGGGGTAACCAACTTGAGAAATCTCAAAGGAACCTATGGTAATTTTCAGAAAGTGCTCTGCCTCTTGCCCTTTGAAAATCTATCCCTTTTCAGCTCAAGCTAGACACCCAAAATTACTCACCCTTTTGAAAGCCTTGGCTCTCTCTTCTCTCTGGCTCATAAAGGTTCTATTTATACCAAAAAAGACACTGCTGTAGAGAACTCAGTAACTACAGGCTAATGCCTTGATATGGCTACAACACAGCGTGTTCTTGCAAGGGTAGAAAAGCCCAGACTGTTTAAATTGCATTATGGAATTGCAGCCTCCTTTTTGGCAGTGACTATAAAAAGGAAAGTCCAGTAATTTCTCAAATGCTGTAAGTGAATGTGACACTGCAGTTTGACAGCTCTGCAGAATGAAGTCCTCAGTGTATTCACAGGATGGGGAGCTATGGGCATTCAGAGCGCAAACTTCCCAAACACCTTCCCTGGAAACACAGACCTAATTTGGAGGGACCATCTCTACAACTGGGTTTACAGGAAGCAGTTCAAATTGAAAAAGCCCTTGGTTGCCAGCGCTGGCATGGCTGCCCCAGTGTTGTCAACTCTGGGAATCCTAGAATAATGGTGCCTCCAGCTTCCAACTTCAGCACTGTGCCAATTAAACCAGCTCAGAGAGCCTGTTTGAATGAAACCCTGTTGAATGAAAGAAACCCTCCGCTGAAAGCAGAATTTGCAAGGTGAGGTAATTTCTCCCTTCGCTGAGACTGTCAGTAAATCTCACATTTAATTATAAAAAAGCAGGCACCTTCTTAAAACAAACAAGACCCCAGATTGCAAAGAAATAGGTCATTTTAGGAAGAGAAATAGCAAAATGAGTCCATATAGTAGCAGTAGCCTCTGTTTCTCACATAAGTCTACACTGAAGTCACAGATGTGGAAGCAGGATAATTTGCCCGAGCTCCTTAATGTCATGGTTAGGCAGATATTTGTCCCCAAGTTGCTACTTTATGGCTAGCATAGGTATACCCAGCTGCTGCAGTCACTGCTGCGACCACAGCGCAGATATACTCACAGTCCCTTCTGCAAGCATACGGTAAACACTTTCTTGTTTTAAATACATTTCTGCACAACATGTTCGTGCCCTAAACATAGGCAGCGCAGAGGCATTTCTCACAGCTATTTCATGCACTCGTGTGACAGATCCAAATGTCTCACGAATGCAACAAACAATACAAAATACATTTTGGAGGAAAAAAAGCAGTTATATACACATTTAAATGCACATACTTATAAGAAATAGACAGCATCTAATACATTTTTTAAAACTGACTCGTTTCCTATGAAAAGATTCACTACCACTAAACTCCTCCTCAGTAATAGTAGTTGGGGACATTTCCTTTAATTTTCAAAATGGTTAGACCTGTTATACTGGGACAAGTACACAGGGCTCTGAAACTCTAGGAACCGATTCACTCTCTCTCTATTTTGTGTTATTTGACTCCCAGGTTGCCTGACCAGAAGAACAAAGAAGAAGATCAGCTCAATCAGAGACCAGTTTTCAGTCATCTCAGAAAGGTTTTTAAACAGCTGCTAGAAGAGCAAAAAGCTGAAACTAAACACACAGCTTTGAAAATATCAGGAAAGCTTTGTCTCTGCTTACCGTATACAGTGCCTGGAGCGTTATATGATCCAACAGTAAGAATAAACACAAAAACCTGAGCACCCTGAATTCATTGTCTCTCAGATCTCAGTCAGTGGCTGTAGCATATGTGAGACTGACAAGTTCCCTATGAGCACCGATCCAGTAGAAGAACAATATCCTACTTTCACTCCCTCCCCTTGTCAAAACTCACTTAGAGGACTAGGACATTCTAATCCAGGGAACAGTCAACTGCAATCTGATGTTTATAGACGTAATAAAAGACTTTTAAAAGGAAGATGTATGTTTTTATAACCCTAGGGTGCAGTAAAGATATATGACTAACAATGGCAGTTCCTCTCATCTTAAAGAGACAAAAGTCCATTTCTTTACATTATTTTAAACATGCAAACTTTGACTGTTTATTGCAAAATCAAACATTCTGAAGATACTATTTATGCTACCTCTGCTTTGGTTCCCTATTTGTAAAACTTCCCCCATCCTTTATCTCATGTTTCTTTACATTTTAGGTGGGGTAGGTAGGGAAAAAAGACTTGCCTCTTATGGGCCAGCCTGAGCTACACCTATTACAGCTAGTATTCTCTATGCAAAAAGTAATCTCATCAGACCTGGACATGGAATAAGGTTGTACTCAATGCAAGTAAGGGCATCCTAGCCTGACTCCATATTATGTACTATACACAGAAGAACAGTATTCACATCCTGGTTGGGGTCCCTAGTTCCTACCGTAACACACATCAATAGCAACCCTCATCTTCAGTCTAAAAATCTCAAAAGGTGACAAGTAGGGAAGAT